TTATATTTCTTTTTGAATATTGAATTCCATGAATCAGGCCCAGGAGCTGAGTGCATAGGCATATTGTCAATTTCTCTTTCAATGTCTTCCGAGTTTGTGGTAATATCCGTTATATTATCTGCAGCTTGAATGTCATTCATAAAGAAGCTGTCTGGGTCATCAACTTTCATGTTGTGTATTGGTGTGCTAAACATAGCCTCATACTGGCTTCTTAGAATTTCACTAATCTCTTTGTTGTCCTCTGTGTACGTACCTTCATTTGTAATTAACGGTCCAATACTGGTCGAGGTTTTGGATTTTGATTTTGCGTATGTGAAAAAATATTTCGGATTTTTCCTTATCTCTTGTATAGCTTTCTGTTCCAATTCAATTTCCTCAGACTCATATGATCGCTTCAACGTTTGTTCTATTTCTTCGATCTCCCTGCTTAGGCTTGTTTTCCTTGCTTGTGATAGTCGTGTCTGCCGAAGCATTTCCGTTATTTTTTTCCTTCTCCTGTACAGTCGTCTGCGTTCTCTTTCTAGAGTGATCCTCTTTCTGCCCCTCCTCACAGGCACGTGCTTCAAGCAGACCTTGTAAGCTTCAGCTGTCAGTTGAGCTATTCCCTGTGTGGGAGTTTTGTCGCTTAAGACCGTCTCCCATTGAATGGTTGCAAGGTCTACATTTATTTTTTCCCAGTCAATCCTCTTATTGTTGAAATTGAATTGATTGAATATTCCTTCTCGCTTGTTGGGTCTCTTAGACCTACTACCGTTATTTATGCTAATTCGCACTTCAATGAGCTTATGGTCTGAGTATGAAGTATCTGAGATTGTGATGTCTCTGATTAGCTCATCATTGTTTGTGAATAACAAGTCTAGTGTGTTTTCGTTCCTAGTTGGTTCTGTAATCTGTTGATTGAGCTAGAATTTGTCACAGAATCTCAAAAGTTCTCTGACCTGTGGTTGGTTATTTCCCGGGTCATTCCCTGCTATGATATTTGTGTTTGCCATTCGCCATCTTAGACTCGGTAAATTGAAATCTCCAAGAAAGATAATATCTGGAGCTGGGTTTGCTAGGTTATCAAGTATGTTCTCTATTTTGTGCATCTGCTCTGTGAATTCCTCAACCGTTGTATCTGGCGCTTTATATATTAGAATAATAATTAGGTTTAGTTTCTCTACCTTAATTCCAAGTACCTCTACCACCTCATTACCAGTTACCCAAGCACTTTAAGAACGTGTTCATCTTTCCTCAGTCTTTGACGGCTTTGGTTATATTTGTTAAACAGTTTACAAGCAAGAAAACGTGCCAATCAACTGTTGCTATTGTTATAAACAGCCTCCTGGTGCTTCGGAGCTCATTAACTGTTTAATAATTGTAAACAAAGCCACCAAAGATTGAGAAAAGATGTACAGGTTCGTAAGTGATTGTGTAACCGCTTCGTGAATCTGGCCCCAGGCCTTCTGGTTGATATTCTGGCTAACCAGGCTGTTGGACGCGGCTGCTCTCACCCCTACATGAAACACAGCCTGAATGATCAAGTATCCTTTGGAGGTGTTTATCAAGTTCTCTCTTGAACACTGTGAAGGGTCGGCCATTATTATTATTAACATCTTTATTGACAAAATTAATTACAATTTTGCCTAATCTGAGGATTTCAATTAAGTCTTATTAGAGAGGATAATGCTGGTATTCACTGTCACGCAGGACAGAGGGTCACACATAAGACAATAGGTCTAAACTGTAGGCGGAAGCACATGTATATCATGGTTACAATTAATGTTTTAATGTATGAATATGTAAAAACAACTTACTATTGGGCACTGCCACACAAGGGCAGGGATGGGTTCATAAGTGATGCAGCTTAGAAGTAATATAAATAAAATTGTTCTTCGTTCTTTAAAATGGACAAGCAAATTTTGGATAAATTGTTAGGATGTCGTCCAGAACACCTGAGTCAATAAAATAGTTACACAGTTGGTGGTACAATAGGCCAGGAGGTCTAAAGTCTTCTACGGTTTCACATTCAACAATATAGTGTTCTAGTGAATGCATTAAAGGTCTATCACAGAGTTTACAATCTGAGTATTCTGGTAGTGGCTCAGCCTCACTAACCTGCCAGATGTGTCTATAGCCAAGGCGAATTCTCGCAATGACTCCATCACATTGCCTGGTCCGGTTACTGTGCTGACCATACAAATACCTATTATTGCAAAAGTTGTCATAGCTTTAATGCAGCTTTTGGGTCTCTGTGCATTTCTTAGTATTTCTAAATCTGAAATAATTTCTTTAATTTGTGTGTTTCTAATAACTGCATTAGATAGTCCAAAGTCATAATCAGTGTATTGTCTTTCCTGCAAGCCTCATTGGCCAATCGATCCACAATGTCATGTTTTCCAACTCCAACATGGGATGGGATCCACACAAATTTTATGCAATAGTTATTATCATTGGCAAAAATTCCATTCCATTTAATATTACAAGCTACTTCAGACATTGTGATGGGTTATTTGAGGACTGCAGAGCACTTTTAGAGTCACAGAATATCACTCCACCACCATTGAGCTTAAGGTACTCAGTGGCTAGATAAATGCCCAATAGCTCAGTCTGTGTCGTGCTTGCCCAGTTGTTCAATCTCTGTGTACTAGTCATGATCATTTCATTCCCTTTATATACTGCGCATGCACAACCTGTTCTACCAGTGCCTAACTGCACAGAGCCATCAGTAAAGGCGAAGGATTCAGTCAGTTTGAGAATTTGAAGATGACTGTCAATAGCTTCTAGTGTTATACATCTCATAGTTTCAGTGTTATAGATTTGTGTTACACTGATGAGTGTATAATATATAGAGACCGGCACATCTTTACAAGGGGGGAATATAGTGAATAGTTTTATCAGGACTAAGAGACACAATCAGTTTCGTAAGACTATTGGTACAACAACTGAGCCACACACTGTATGGAGATTTTTTGCGGCGGATTGAGTGAGCAGTCTGAGTTGTTTAGAATGGATCTCAATTTAATTTGAATACAGCTGGGGGGGGACCATTAATTTTCAAAATTTTGGCACAAAACATAGTATTAGGTAGAATTATTCTCTCGTAAATGGAAGGTAAGTTTAGTTCCTTTCTCATGTTAGCAATTCTGACAGTTCTAGGACAACCCAGGATGATGCGCATGGCATCATTCTGTACTACATCTAGGCCTTGTAGTTGTTTAGGAGAAAAATTAAGAAGATGCAAGGCATAATAATCAACAACAGATCGTATAAAGGCAATATAAAAACTACGAGCATATTTTATGTTGATGCTAAATCCTTTGCCAACAAGAGTTTTGAGAGGTTTAAGACGGTCAACAAGTTTTTTGCGCAGGTTGCTAAATAGGACACTAGCACGCCTGTTGGATAGGTAGCTCTTTATCCAACTCAGAAGATTACCGTTGATTCCAAATTCAGCAAGTTGCTCTAATATTATTTCGCCATTCGCTACATCGAAAGCTGACTTTAGGTCAATAAAGGCTGCCTGTGTCCCATCCTGGGAGTTAACAAAATATTCAGCAAAGCATGTTTGTGTGCTACACTTGGGCATAAACCTATATAGGTTTGGGGCCAGTTTTTCTTTGACCTGAAACATGACACGATTGAGAACAATTCTCTCCAAGACTTTACACACGCAAGATGTAAGGAAAATGGGTCTTATTTTTTTAGTTAGGTTTAGGAATTGGTACTATGAGACTTTGTGTCCATTTCTTTGGCAAGATAACTCATTTGATAGAGGTCAAGCAGAGGGTGGCTAGGGACATCATTCAGTAAGCTGAAGATGTTATAAGTTATACCATCCTCACCTGGGGCAGTTTGTTTAGGTACCCCCGTTGAAAAGCAGAGGTGCAATAGGTACTCTGAGAGAAAACTATCAACATCAGAGGCCCGAGACTGTTCAACACGCTTCCACTACACATAACTGGCCTTATCCCTCACAGTGTTAGAGAGAACTCGATAAACGCCTCCAAATAATACCTGATCAACCAGGCTGTGACTCATACGTCAGGCTGCGAGCAGTCGCATCCAACAGTTTGATTGACCAGACCATCAACCAGAAGGCATGGTCAGGGACCTTTCGTACTTAGGAGAATGCGAAAGACTTGGTGTATTTTTTTTTACGTAAATCTCACAAATACACAAGTGTGGGTTTTTTTCCTATATTATGATGTTTGTGAATAGACATTACCATTACATTATTATTATTATTATTATTATTATTATTATTATTATTATTATTATTACACAGTAATCACACTAATGTGACTGCATCAATGAGAAAATCCGTAGGAGCTGTGAGGAGGGTTCGAACCCTCATCGTGGCTCCTACGGGTTTTCTCATTATTATTATTATGAATATTATTATTATTATTATTATTTAACAACTGCAATTATGCAGATTCCTTAGACTATGTGAAGGGTTACCTAGTATGTGATATTAAGATATTAAAAGGCAATACAGTACTGTATGTGATATCAAGTTTTGTAAAAAGTCTTGGCAGTTACCCCGCCACGTTTAACAATCAATCATAAATATAAAAATCTTTTAATTGACTAAAATCAATTTATCTTGTCAAGCATGACCTGTCACCTCCTAACATTTTCCTGCTATTAATTGAGAAGGTTGTGTCTACTGCTTGCAGTGTCCCGCATTCAGAGAGAGAAATGTATATGATGTGAGTTGTGACCTTCATATTGTGTTATGGTAAGGGTTGTTGATGTTATATGCTGTGGAGAGTTGCGCTCACCTAGTTGCGCTTGCGGGGGTTGAGCTTCGGCTCTTTGGTCCCGCCTCTCAACTGTCAATGAACTAATCATTTGTGGCCTATATTTTTTTTTTTAGATATATACAAGAATTGTTACATTCTTGTACAGCCACTAGTACGCGTAGCGTTTCGGGCAGGTCCCTGGAATACGATCCCCGCTGCGAAGACTCGTTTTTAATATATAGTGTTAAGATAACGGTTGTGTGGTTGTTTCAGTGTTATGTGGTGTGGGGGGTGTGGTGAGCTGCTGGGCGCTGTGGTGGGTGATGACGCGGCGGTCGGCGCCCAAGCCTGGCCTTCTGCACCTCTTTACCGGCAAGTACCTCCACCCGCAGCGCTGCACCACCACCTTCCACTGGGACGACCCCTCTCTTGTCGGCATCACCGTCGCCTTCACCGTCCAGGTATCCTCTTATTATTTTTCTTGTAACGTCTTCACCACTTCTCCAGAGAACCTGGCGAAGGTTTTGGGAGTTCTTCTACTCCCTTGAGCTTCTTTTTTTTTTTAGAGAGTATTTGCATTTATATTTTTGTATCTATGATAATTATACATCCCATAGATTTTGAATTTAACCTTAAATTTGTTTCCAGTTTTATTCTAGATTTGTTAGTTTCTCTTATGAATTTTAGTACAATTATATAAACAACATAATAGGAAGTTTAATTTTTTAAAGTATTAGCATACTGCATTCCATAAGAAATTGTTGAATATTAATATAAGACATTAGCTGAAAGGAGACATTATTGAAAATAATGTTTAAGTGAGAAGATACAGTGTTTGAATTCTTACATTTTATTCATGCAGTTTTACCAGAGGAATGGTCGACCATATCCCATCAGTGATGCAGATGGTGTATTGGTGGAGATAACACAAGGAATTCACAAGGTAGGTATTGAGCAACCTTTTTTCTTGGAAACTGAATGGAGAAGAGGAAGTAAATGGAAGGGTATTTCAGTTTGAGGAGACTTATATGGTCATTGTGATTGGCCATTTTATTCTTTTACCAACAAGATTTTCATCTTAAGACATTTCTCAAATACAGTATATCACACCAAATGGTACTCCGGGCCATTTAATTTTAAATTTGTATTTCATAAATTTCCTCCTAAATCTTTACTTGAAGCTCTTTATTCCCTTTTCTTGTGGTATCATTATGTATTCAATTTTGCCATGTATACAGTATTTCACTTTCTCTAGATATAGGAAGAAAATTCCTGTCCAGGAAGAGGGTGATTTTGAAGAAATGGCCAACTTAAGCATTTACATAGGAACATAATTTCATTTTTATCTGGTTTTGGGATCAACCTTATTATTATCTTCAAGAGTTAGACCAAAAGTCATGCTAATGTATTAAGCATTTCCTTTGAATGCAGTGCATAATAAGCTATTTTGTTTTATAGGTTGGTGTAGTAACAGAACTTGGCGGAACAGGAGAAGCAGAGATTAATACAGCAAGATGCAAGTTTAGTGCACGACAAGCTGGACAGTACAAGATTTCTATCCTTCTGGCCAATCAGCATATCCGTGGTAGTCCTTTTGTTAAGAACTTTCTGCCTGGTAAGTTCCTTAAAAATATACATTTAATGCAGTCAGTGCATGTCTCACACTATGGAAGATAAAAGTAGCTCATTCATTAGAAGTTGCCTCTTCAGCTGATAGTGTTTTTCTTCAATTCTGGCTATACTTATATCTACTGATAAAATGTATCTCTGATACATTGTCCCTTTGGCAGAGCCCCGTCCTTGAGAGAACGGCTCCAAACACAGTATTTACTCAAATATTCCAGATGACTTTGTGTTTAATTTTGGTGTTGAAGGAACATATGAATCATTATCCAAAGAATTGTACACTTGGGATCTGGATGTTATAAAAGTAAAATAGTTGCTTGCACTGAGAAACAAAAATGTATGAACAGAATGAGAATTTCCCTCAGCAGGGCCGTACATTGGAGAGAGTTAAGGGAAAGAAACATTAAAAGATAGGAAAGCACTAATAAGGTATTTATAATGCATTGGTCCCACTAGAAGTATTCCTTCAAGGTTGCTGCCACGACAGAGAAGTCTCCAGGTGGCCCTATTTAAACTTGAACATGTGTCCTATTATGTGCCCCTTACACTATTGTGAGACCTGTCTTTCTGCTAATTGTCCACATTCCATTTTTAAGATGTCATGGGAGAGTGTAGAAAAGTCTCGGGCCTCTGATGTTGACAGTTCTCTCTCGGCATACCTATCATACCTGTGCATTTCAGTGGGGCTATTTTGCACATCCTGCCATGCCTACTGGGTTCATGTGATGTTATTTCTGTGTGCAGATTTGGAATCAGTCCCTCGATAAATAATTTCCACGTGTAGAGTATGTATATCTCTCGCCTGCGCTCTAGAGATTTCAGTTTTAGAACTTTTAATCGGTCCCAATAATTTAGATGATGTACAGAATACAGTGGATTCTAGCAGTGGACGATCTTTGCATGCTCTCCAGGTCAGCAATTTCTCCGGCTCTGAATGGGGCTGTTAGTAATTACTTAAGTGTAATTACCTAAGTGTAGTTACAGGTTGAGAGCTACACTCGTGGTGTCCCATCTTCCAAGCACTCTGTCTTATAACGCCTTGAAAGTACTGATGGTTTTGGCCTCTATCACCTGCTCACATAACTTGTTCCAACCGTCTACCACTCTGTTTGCGAAAGTGAATTTTCTTATATAACTTTAGCTGCTTTGTTTAGTTTAAATTTATGACCTCTTGTTATCGAATTCCAGGTGTCGGGAAGTCTTCCCTATCAATTTTATCGATTCCTGTTACTATCTTGTATGTAGTGATCATATCGCCTCTTTTTCTTCTATCTTCTAGTTTTGAGATATTTAATGCCTCTAACCTCTCCTCGTAGCTCTTGCCCTTCAGTTCTAGGAGCTACTTAGTAGCATGTCTTTGCACCTTTTTCCAGTTTGTTGATGTGCTTCTTAAGATATGGGCACCATACAACCGCTGCATATTCTAGCTTTGGCCTAACAAAAGTCGTGAACAATTTCTTTAGTATTTCGCCATCCATGTATTTATAAGCAATTCTGAAGTTAGAAAGCGAAGCATAGGCTCCTCACAATGTTCTTTATGTGGTCCTCAGGTGACAGTTTTCTATCTAGAACCACCCTTAGATCTCTTTCTTTATCAGAGGTCTTTAAAGATTTTCCACATAATTTATAGGTTGTGTGGGGTCTATGTTCTCCTATTCTGCATTCCATAACATGCATTTATGCACATTAAATTCCATTTGCCAAGTGGTGCTCCATATACTTTTGTCCAGGTCTTCTTGAAGGGCATGACAATCATCCAGGTTTCTTATCTGTCCTATTATCTTAGCATCATCAGCAAACATGTTCATGTAATTCAGTGTTGCTTCTCGTAGGTCCTGTATGTATACAGTGGACATTACCGGTGTAAGAACTGAACCCTGTGGTACTCCACTCGCATCATTTCTCCAGGCCACCATGTTGCCTCTAATTATTGCTCTCATTTTTGTCAGAATATTTTTCATCCATGCTAGAAGCCTCCCTGTCACTCCTTCATTATGCTCCAGTTTCCAGAACAGCCTCTTATGTGGAACTCTGTCAAAAGCATTTTTAAGGCCCAGATAAATGCAGTCAACCCAGTCATCTCTTTACTGTAAAATCTCTGTGGCTTTATCATGAAAACTAAGTAAATTTGTTACAAAGGATCTTCCAGGACAGAAACCATACTGTTTGCCTATTATTATATCATTTTTCTCCAGGTGTTGTTCTACCCATTTAGTTTTAATTATTTTTCCAACATTTTGACTACTACACTTATCAGAGATACAGGTCTATAATTGAGGTGGTGTTTTCCGCTGCCATTTTTATAGACTGGAACTATGTTAACCTTTTTTATTATTATTATTCATTGGAATATATACAAGAGTTCTTACATTTTTGTACAGCCACTAGTACGAGTAGCGTTTCAGGCAAGTCCTTAATCCTAAGTTCCCTGGAATACGACCCCTGCGAAGAGTTGTTTTAACAACCAAGTACCCATTTTACTGTTGAGTTAAACAGAGGCTACAGTTAAGAATTTGCGCCCAGTAAATCCTCCCCGGCCAGGATACGAACCCAGGATAAAGCGCTCGCAAAACGCCAGGCGAGCATCTTAACCACTACGCCACAGAGACTGTGCATAATGGTTAAGACTGAGACTTTTTCCACACATCTGCTAGGGCTCATGTACACAGGGATGCCTGAAAATCAGTTGAAGTGGAATGCTGAGCTCGGGTGCACATTCTCTCAGAACCCAAGCCATGGTGAAGCCCCATTTGGGCCAACTGCTTTGTTCTTACTTAGTTCCTTGAGCATTTTTTCACTGTCTCTAGACACCTCTGTGTGCTCTGTTTTTTGTTTTTTTATTATTATTATTTTTCTTCTGCAAATGTGGCCACACGTTTACAATCCTAACCAGCATATATACACTTTCTTGTCCTCCATGGACAAGGTTAAAAGATCTATTAAACATATAATTCATTGATTTATTGAACCAGCAAGCAGAGAAGGTGATTGTAGTGCTTTTAAAATGCTCATCTAACCTACAAACATAAATACTCGGATTTACGTCTGTCCTACATAAACAGTGTTCGAGGTGTCTTTTTACATAGCGTCATTAACACGAGTTTACAAAGGTGAAATGTCATTCTGACCAGCTTCCACATTTATGTAGGCATTTCACTCATTTCTTTCTTGTCATCTGTGAAAGTAAGGTTTCAATGTTGGATATAGTTTTTGCATAGGAGAAAAAGTATTTCAGATTCCTCTCTGTTTCACTTATGGCATTTAGCTCTCTTTGCCTCTCTTGGATTTGGTATGATTATTCTATTACTCTATTATAATGACCAAGCCACACACATCAGATGATGGAGAAATAACGCTGTTTCAATCCGTCCTGGACCATTATCAAGTCGTGTGTGAGGGAGGGCGGAAGAAACGGTCCAATAAATAAGGAAAGAGTGAGGTGAGGATCGCGTAAGAGAAGATAGTTGCTAAAAGAAGGTAAGAGTAAGGTGAAAGGTAAGAATAGGATGAAAGGTATGAATGGGGTGAGTGCAATAATGAGATGAAGAAAGAATGGGATTAGGTAAGAACAAGAGGAGGGTTGTAAAATGAAAAGAGCTTAAGTCAGATCACGTTTGTTAAGAAGGTTAGAGCATTTATGTATGTAATGTGAAAGGGTACAGTCAACAGCAACAAAGCCAGGACTAAGGTTTATGTTGGGTTGGTTGGGTATTGGAGCCGATTCAACAAGACTGCGTCTGTGAAGAGAAGAAGCAGGAAAGATTATTGTAGGGGTCAATTTATAGGATGATTAGAGTCCCTAACATGACAGAGGAGAACATTGTTTGTGTCTGCAGACTTAACACTTCTTTTGTGTTCCTTAAGTCTGTTATTTAATGTATGGCCAGTTTCACCAAAGTTTTGGAGAGGACAAGACGAACAGGAAATAGGGTAGACACCAGCAGCATTAGAAGCAGGAGGGAGAGTGTTAGTTTGTAGACAGGCGAGCTTTACATCAAGAGGACGAAGGGTATTAGTGTGATTTTTGGGTTCAGATATGAAGGGAAGACAGAGCACATTGGTACTAGTGTTGGAAACAGGTTTGGGATGAAAGAAATTTAATTTAGCTTGAGAATAGGCACAGTTGTTAATGTAAGAGAGTATCCAAGGAGGGGGGAAGAGATATTTGTAAATAAAGGATATTTCAGAATCATGAAACTGAGGGTCACTGATGCGTAGTGTGCAGAGGAAGAGAGAGAGACGAGAACACTTGATAGTCTCTCTTGACTTGAGAATGGTCCAGAATGGATCAAAATGTTGTAGTCTCCATCTTCTGATGTGTGGTTGGTTTGGTCATCGTATCTTCAGCCACGTTAAAGCGACTCATCATCTTCATACTCCTCTATTACTTTCTCTCTATCTACTTAGACCACATGTATTCAAATAATTTAATTTGGAATTGTTTTAAATTTAAGTGCTTCATTCAATGTTTGTTTCACTCCTATAGGCAATGTTTGTTTCGCTCCTATAGGCAATGTTTGTTTCGCTCCTATAGGCAATGTTTGTTTCACTCCTATAGGCAATGTTTGTTTCACTCCTATAGGCAATGTTTGTTTCACTCCTATAGGATTTCTTGCCCTTGTTCAAGGTAATTATTTTAACTATTTTATAGTCATCTGGTAGCTTTCCTGTTTTCTAAACATGAATGCATCTTATGTACAACTAATATATGTCTATGTCACCACTATGTTTTTAACATCTCATGTTAATCAATCTTGTGAAAGAACGGTTTCTCACAGCTAGACTTGCAGCCATGGCTGCTGAACCACTCTGCACAGGCAGAGTTACTCAGAGTTGTGCATTGAGCATTGGTTTTACCTATCATTGGACACAAATACCATCGTGTTGGTGTCTATGGATCAGGAATCGTGCCAGCAGTTCAGAATGTGTGTGTGTGTGTTGACATGTGATGCCTGGTTATACTAAAAGGGCAGTTGTACACCTAGCCTATATGATCATGGATGAGGGTACAATACCCGAGGGTAGCTGCGGAGTGTGGCAGGTGCTCGCCTGGGCTCGCTTTGCTTCAACCGAAAGGCAACCGTCGCTGTACACCCGTTTCCTATTTCCCGCCTCCACTCGAGTAGCGTTCAGAACTCACCTAATTAGGAGGCCTATGTATGGTTGACACTGCATTTTGCTTGGTGGGCTGTTCAATAGCTTTGACGTAAAGGAAGAGGGTGAGAGCCTGCTCTTCCAGTTTGTTCCCTGCGGCCCCTCACTCCTCAGGAAGTTTTGGCAAGAAGACAGGTGCTCTAGAGTGAGTTCTAGAGAGCACTGTTACCCTCCAAAGCTACAAGTCACAACTCCAGGATACCCATTGGGTGAGGATGACGCCCTATTCACTGACGAAAAAAGCGCACCGTATGAATGTGGGCGTGAATGAATGTGGGGAATGTGTGAGTGAGTGAGTACAGTATTTGTAATTAAATTGTGATCACATTGACACGCACTCACTCGTGGTGCTTAATTGTAACCCAATGAGTCTGATTGTAACTCAATGAGTGATCTTAATTACCAGTTGGTGAGCCCATTGGAGTGAGATGCCACAGTGTTGGTATGGACCTTGCATGTGTTTGTGAATGATTATTCCAACACATGTCAGTCTATGTTATTGTGCATACAATTGTAATGTCCCGAGTATCAATTCTGAACTCCAAACTGTTCCTGTTGCATATGGCAGTGGTGTTAGGCAGCCGTTATTGCTGAGGTGGTCATTATACCAGTGTTAAGGTTAGGTTGCATCATGTCATCCGAGTACCTGTACTGTCAGCAAGAGACTGGACTGTGCGTAGATTTGCCCATGACCCTTCATAAAGTAGACAATTATCCCATTTCCATGTGTAAATATAATTTTGTTTTATATTTAATAAATAGATGTTTATTAACGCTTCTGTGGCTGGTGATGCGCTTTGGGTTGATCTGGTTTCCCTTGTTCCCTGTTCCAGGGCTCTGGTCTTCCAGGTCGTCCGCAGGGTCATTAAGTCTAGCCAGCCTAGATAACAAGGTTGGATAACAAGAACTTTTCACACTAGAGATGCTATACCGATGATGATACTTTTCAAAACACTTGTGCTATCTAGAGTGGAGTACTGCTGCACAATGACAGCCCCTTTCAAAGCTGGAGAAATTGCTGACCTAGAGAGCGTGCAGAGATCCTTTACTGCTAGAATCCACTCAGTAAAACATCTAAATTACTGGGACCGACTAAAGAGCCTAAATCTGTACTCCCTTGAGCGCAGGCGGGAGAGATACATAATAATTTACACGTGGAAAATAATTGAGGGGCTGGTCCCAAACCTGCACACAGAAATAACACCACATGAGACCAGAAGACATGGCAGGATGTGCAGAATACCCCCGTTGAAAAGCAGAGGTGCAACAGGTACTCTGAGAGAGAACTCTATCAACATCAGAGGCCCGAGACTGTTCAACACGCTTCCACTACACATAAGGGGCATAACTGGCAAACCCCTCACAGTGTTCAAGAGAGAACTGGATAAGCACCTCCAAAGGATACCTGATCAACCAGGCTGTGACTCATACGTCAGGCTGCGAGCAGCCGCGTCTAACAGCCTGGTTGATCAGTCCAGCAACCAGGAGGCCTGGTCGACGACCGGGCCGCGGGGACACTAAGCCCCGGAAGCACCTCAAGGTAGCCTCAAGGTAAGGTAGGTAGCCTGCGGTGTAGCCTCGTACCCACAATGTTCGTAAGTTTGTTGCTTTGGTTGCTGCATTCAGCAATATGTCCTGGCCTGGCATTCGGGCGCGGAGATTTTGGAGGTTGAACAGGGTCCTGGCAGCGCATTATCTCGTCAACTTTCCTTCTCGCAGTCGTCCATGTGTGGCTTTGGGTCACAGGTTACATCCAGTTGTCTCAACTTCAAATTGAGGAGTGAGTGGCAGCCGCCTCCCGGGTCCCTCTTTTCCTTATCTTTGGTTAGGCAGCTCCAGGAAGTCGTAGGGACTTCCTCTCAGAAAACCAGCATTGAATGTAATGAAGCACCATTTTCTGGGTGAGACCCAGAGGCTTCCTGGCACCCTCCCTTCCCCTGGTCAGCGGTTTTTCGCTTGGGTTTTAATGCTCAGCCTCTGAACTGGAGTTGTTGGGTAGCCGGCACAGGGGTCCAGGGCTCCCCTCTTTCCCTCCCGGGGAGAGGGGAGGGCAGATAAGCGGCACAGCAGCGGAGTGTGACGTTTGCTCGTTAGCTTGTTTTCTTTAAGTGAGGGAAAGTTCTGCCCCTCTGTTCGGTCTTCGGTTGCAATTTTCTTATTTGGTGGGGTCTGTTTTGTTATGCCTACCTTTCTGGGGGACCAACCCCGTCAATGACAGACACGGAATGCCCCCAAATACATGGGGGTTTCCATAGGCCATTGTTCCCTTTGCCTCTCTGAGGGGGGGCCAGGTTCTGGCTTGTGGATCCCGGTAGGCTGAACTCCAGTTGACTGATGTCCCAGACTAATATAACATATATCAGGCTGATAGCTCCAGGGAACATCCGGGGCTCGCCCAGAATATTGCGTTTCATTACATTCAACACTGTTTTTTTCAAAATCAAAGGGTTTCAGATCAAAGGAGAAGTTAAAAGGGGCATGAAACAGAAGGGGCAAGAAGGTACCTACAGGAGCTCCATGGCAAATTGACTGGATGGCAAGACATCAGATGGAATACCTGGAGATGCCTGGAAAGGATTCCTGGAGTTCTTCTACTTCCCGAACCCGGCCTGGGGCCAGGCTAGACAAATGATGGAATGTGTAGCTCAGAAATGTACAGGAGCCGTGAAATAGGAAATCAATGTGAAGTTCAGGATAAATGTGTAGCTATCTTGGCAGTGCAGAGAAGAAAACAAAACTAAGAAGTCTTGGAAGTATAGAAAACAGGGTACAGAGGTGAAATGGAAAGGAGAACCAGAAATGAGAACATGATAGAAAGTATGCAGAAAAGAAGTTTGAAAATGAGAGAGCTGTTAAAGCAAAGGACCATCCGAAGCTAAAGCAGTCGCACGAGGAAAGCAAGTCAATGACATGTGAAGATGATTGTGAAAGTCCTAATAGAAAATGACAGAGGTGTGTGAGAGGAACTCAACATTGAACTAGGGAGTATAGAGAGTTTAGACAGATCCAGGGTGGCATCTAAGAGAAGAGGATGAGACAGTTAGAGGAGCATTCTAGAGTACAGCAGCTACTCAAGAGGTAAAGTTATACCAGGAGGAATTAAATGCAATAAAGCTAGTATGGCTAGGTCCAGGTATCCCCATTTAGGCTGCTAAAGAGCTTCCATAAATCTGGAAGGGTGCAAATGTAGTTCCAGTATGCAAGAAAAGGGAGAGACAGGGAGCCAGTAACCATAAATCAGTGTTACCAATGTTCATTTCTTGTAATGGTCTGAGGAGTATGGTATTTCTTTGAGTTGGGATAAAAATCAGATCGTTGGAACAAGAAATAAATAAAATTGCAATGTGTCTTTACTCTATATTCTTTTATTTTAATGAACAGGAGTCTTAGGGCAGTGCAAATGAAGATTTTCTTCCTTCAGGTCCCCCGGACCCTAGCAAGACTGTGATGGTGCAACATAGTTCAACGGTCGTGTGTACTGCCAGTCAGCCTCACCACATTCTTATAGAGCCTCGGGATCAATACCACAATGTCTGCTCCTTCTCTCCTGGTCAAGCTGACACAGATAATTATTCCATTTCCATTGTGGAGGTGAGTATTTATACATGTTCACCCTAAGCCACTAAACCTTGTGCTAGATTTACAACCCGTCCTCTTAAAAATAACGTCACTTTTCGCTCGTATGCGCGCTATGGCCAAATTTGGACGTAATTTGAAATGAAATCGACTCGCAAAAGTGACGTATTGTTCCGTTTTCTGTTTGAGTCGTCCGGCCTACGCGGACAGATTAGGAGAGGAAACTTTCAATTAACGTTTTTCATAACGTTTTGAAACTTTATGAGAATTTCCTGCCCACCTAACCTACCAGAGGATCCTTAACTTACTATTGTTGAAAAAAAAAATCCCAAATTTATTTTCATTTTTTTTTCATTTTCAAATTACGTCCATTTTCGGCTATACGGGTAAACGGCCAAAAGCAACGTTATTTTTAAGAGGACAGGTTGAGATATAAGCAGTTGCTCTTTTTGAAACTGAGGTACGACAACAATACTGTATTTACTCTTTTCAAGTACTGTACTGTTTTGTCATAATTCATACAGGTTTTAAAATTCCTTGAAAATCTTGGAGTTCTAACTGTAAATTCAAAGAGCTGGAAATTCTGACATTTAAAGATTTTTTGTTTAAGATCCAAATAAGAGTCTTGAATTTTCTTGGAAAATTGTTATACATAAACATTATATTATGTTACATGTGAGGGATATTCATGATGTCAAAATTTTAAAATATTATTCCTAGCTATCTCACTTGGTTGCTTCCTAAGGTAAGGTTCAACTGAACTGGTGTACAATATATGGAATGTGAATGTAGTCACTAGTATTAATTCAGTTACTTGTTAAATCATTACAGCTAGAAGGAGGCTGGACAGTGGACGCAGGTAGTATTATTGTCTATGACCACACATCACGGCGCATCAGTATCCAGGTGACTCTTCAGCGGCCAGGCTGCTACAGGGCTCATCTTACATACTGCGACACAACACTCACCAATGGCAATTTTGACATAATTGTACTGACAAGTAAGGGTTTTATGGTGTATTTTTACATTAAAATAAATGTTTGATTCCTACAAAGTTTCCAGTGATTACTGAAGACTAATTTAAAAAAAAAAGAAAAAATGGAATCTCTGATAATTTTAGATTAAGATTTTCTTCTGATGTATCATTAACTTTTCCAAGGCTAACATAATTCCATTATATGATACCAATATTAATTTATATTATAATAATAACAAAGTAATAGCCATTACTTACCAATGAGCTGCTCTCTTGATGTCCACTTGTTTTAAGCCTTTCTGTATACTCTCCGAGTTTCAAGATCCCCAAAATTATGCCATACTGTACTTTCAACTGTCCCTCACAGTTGAAATACAATACAGAGGATCTAATCTTTACTGCAAATGCACACAAGTTTAAATACATTAGTTTTTTAATGACAATTAACATTTTGTCTACATTTTCTTTTGGGGGGGGGGGGCCCCTTCGGCTCCCCGGAGCTATCTAGGCTGATATGTATATTATTAAACTTTGGCATCAGTGTGAATGGAGTTCTAGGCCTACCGGGGACCACGAGCCAGAACCTGGCCCCCTCAGAGAGGCATGAGGAGCAATGGCCTATAGAAATGCACATGTGTGTGGAGCATTCTGTGTCTGCCATTGACTGGACCGGACACCCAGAAAGGTAGGCACCCTGAAACAAACCCCTAATCTGGTTAAAGCTACTTCTGAAAACTAACAATAAACAGAACTCTCCAATTTAAAACGAGCAAACAAGCATGACGTCACACTTGCAGCGTCTGTGCAGCTCCCCCCTTCCTGGAAGGGGGAAGGGTGGAGCCCCAGACCCATCACACCGGCTATCCACCTGTCAGTCCTCGGCTGATGTGATTGTAGCTTCAGCTCCTGATTCTCTGTGTGTTGCGCTGTTGTAACACCTTGATGTATTTTCTAACTACATCGAGGTGTTACAACAAGAAGACCCTTCCAAACCCTTCCGGGGTGGCGACGGAGGCATTCGAGTCGGTTCCTCCAGTCGTGGCAACAGGGTCTGACCAGTGGGCCCCCTTCCTTTCTGCTTTTCCGGCTGCCTTGGCTTTTTCTTGTGAGGCCGGGGCTATAGAGGAGGACTCGTCTCCCTGGGGGCCTGTTGTGGAGGTTCCCAAGGAAAGGCCTGGCTTGGGGGCCTTGGGCCCTACTGGACCCCACCTGGGTTTTCCTTTCCTCCCTCTGCGTACGAGTTGGATTTGGGTTCAGCCTCTCCCCGGGTTCGGTTCCGTATCCCTTCGATTCCATCCTTCCGGAGGTTTTCGGCTTCCCACGTCTTGCCTACTGAGGTGGGGTGGTCATTGCAGCATACCTCCTGTGCAACTCTGATTTTGCCTCTATAATGGAACCATTATCATTCAGGTTTGGGTCTTCGTCTCCATACTGGGTTCTTTATGAGGTTCCGGAGTCGTCCTGGCCCGTTGTTGTCGTTGGATGCTTGGAGTACTTTGTCATACCCACGCACTTGAGTGGCGCGAGGCGTTGATGGGGGTCCAGGTTTACCTTGGGGGGCTACTTTGAGCACCTCAATGCGTGTTTGCCCCTGTCCATCTGCAGGATGTTGGCGCGGTTCAGCTTCACATGCAGGTTCCCTCCCTGTCGGCTGCACTTGTGGCTAAGGATTTGCGTGCTCGTGGCTTGCTGGCTTCGGTCTTGTGCTTTTTTTCCCTCCTGGAGCTGTCTTTGGATTGGCTTGCTGAGGATGTAGAGGCGCTTGGGGCCGTTTCTGGGTCTGGTACCTTGGTCTTGGCGGCTTCTGCGTCGTCTGCAATGTTGAAGCTGTTTGCGCTGATCCTGCGGGATGCGGTGTCTCAGTTTTCGCTGTGCGTCTCATGTGTTGGCAGATTGTGCTCGCTTCCTCTTTGGAATCTGCTTGGGCCCTGGCTCTTTGATTTTCTTTGTCTTTTTGTCCTTAGCTGTTTGCAGAGTCTGTGATTGGGCAGTTTCTGCAGGCGGCCTCAGTTAGTTGTCTGATGTCGGTCTTGTTGGTCCTTCGGGGGTCCTGTGGGAGGAGGGGTTTATCCTCCCAGAAGGGTCGTGCCAGGGCTCGGGGTTCTGTTTGTCGTGGTAGACCACAGGTGCCATTTTCGGAGCCTGCGCTGCTTTCGAAACCGTCTGCGTCTGGTCGGTGTGGTGATCGCTCTGTGCGCAGGTCGGGTTCTCGTGAGGGGTGTCGTCTGCCCTTTTGCAGTTCGCCCCATTGACTCGGCAATGGGGAGGAAGGCTTGCTCTGTTCGTTCATGCCTAGTCTCACAATTTGTGGGCTTTTTGGGTTGTTTCAGACGATCTACGGTGGCGTTGAGTGGCCCCGGGTTTGGGGCTGATGGGTCAGGCCTCTTCTCCTCCACTCTGTTGGGGTCATCTCGGAGTGGGGGTGTTTGGGTGTGGTCGAAACGACGACGTCTTTCAGGTGGGTTTCCCGCCTGTTCCCAGTCCCGAAATGGGACTGTGCGGACCTGCGGTTCATTCTGAATTTGTCCCGTTTGCAAGCTGTCTTGGGTGTTGTTTCACCTCCTTGGGCTCTTGCCCCTCCTTTCGAATGACAACTGTCCCAGGTTTTGCTTCTGTTGGAACCAGCTGCTTGGATGGTGTCCCTGGATCTCAAGGATGCGTATTGGCACGTTCCGATTCATCCGGAGTTCTGGGACTGTCTCGGGTTTGTAGTGGGGCATCTCGGTTACCCTTTTGTTTTCTCCCATTCGGTTTGAACCTGGCTCCTCGCGTGTTCACTCGCCTTACCTGGGTCATAGTGGCCTGTCTGCATCTTTTAGGTGTTCGGGTTTTGGCCTACCTCGTCGACTGGCTGGAATGGGCTCCCGGTCAGTTCGTGTGTCTGCTCGCCAGGGATTTGGTTCTTTCCCAGCTTGCCGGGTTCAAGTTCCTGGCAAACTGGAGAAAGTGCCATCTGGTTCCCTCCCAGGTTCGGACCTGGCTGGGTCTTGTGTGGGACTCTCGGACCGCTTCCTTGTCTCTCCCTCCAGAATCTCTCCTTCAGCTGCAGTCCCACATGTGCTTGTTTCTGGGGGGCTCCCGGGTCACTCGGTTGTTGCTCGAGGGTTTGTGCGGGAGCCTGTAATTTGCTATGATGGTCTACCCGCCGGGTCGGGTTTGGCTTCATCGGATGTTCTGGTTCTTTCGAGGACGTCCCTTCTGCCTCTCTCACGATCACTGGGTTTGACCCTTGGGGACCTATTGTCAGCTGCTGCGTCGCCGGCTTCCTCTTTGGGTTTTTTGAGGCTCAGTGCCATGGCCTCTACCCGAGCCCTCGCTCGAAGTGTTCACGGATGCGTCGTCTGACCAGTGCTCACCAGGCCGGCCAAGGGCGGTGGGATCCGTCTTTCCGTCGAGCCCACAGCACGGTGCAGGAGTTTGTGGCGGTATGGTATTGGCTTTGGAGGGTTCAGGTCACCCACAGATCGACGCTCCGGCTCCATTTGGACTGCTCCCAGGTGGTTCATTGCCTGAACCAAGGGGGTTCGATGCAGTGCTTGCTCTTTGAGGCTGGTTGTTTCGGGTGACTCGTCTGCTGAGTTCTCGTGGTTTGGCTCTTCTGACCGTTCATGTCCGGGGTGTCCAACGTTCTGACGGACGACCTGTCCCGGTTCATTCCCACTGTCCAAGGAATGTAGAGTCGATGCCGACTCGTTCAGTTGGCTCTGCCAGACGTTCAGGTGCTCGGAGGTGGACCTCTTCACGTCGGCATGGTCAAGGCGCCTTCTGGTCTATGTGGCGCCTTGACCATGTGACCTCTTTCCCCCGGTTCCGGTATTGCTCCTGGTCCTACCTCGCTTGGAGACTTACCAGGGGAGAGTTATCCTCTTGGCCCCATGGTGGCCGGCTCAGCCTTGTTTTCAGGCACTGCTTGCTTGGTGTTCCGGAGGTTTTCCCACGGCTCCACCGCTTCAGCAGATCGGTCCGGTCCATTACGAGACTGGTACGATCTTCTCCTCGAATCTTCGCGTCTGGTCTTTTTGACTCGTGTCTATCACCATCTGTATGGTGATCAGGTGGCTTCTTTGATGGTGTCGCACCTGCTGGCTTCGTCTCGGTGGCAGCATGCAGTTTACTGGCGGTCCTTCCTTTTTTTTTGTCTCTTCGTAGGTATACTTCACTTTTTGTTAAGGTGGTTTTGTCCTTACTCTAGTGGCTGTTTCAGGACCGTCTTCGTATGCTGCATTCTTTTGCCTCGTATTGTGCGGTGCTGGCAGAGCCACTATGGCTTGCTTTCGGTTTTGATGTTCCTTCTACACCATTTTGCAAGCTATCTAGGGGCGTTGTTTCACCTCCGGCCTGCTTATGCACTGCCTGAGCCGTCTTGGTCTTTGAACGATGCTCTCTTATCTCTTCCCCTCAGTTGGTTGTGGCCCCTTAGGTTCTGGATTGTTTCTCAGAGGTTTCTGCTCTTTTGGGTTCAGGTGTTAGGTTTGTTTGTTGCAGCCGTTCTTCTTTTGTGGCGAGGTTGGGTTGACTGTTTTTCCGGAGGGGTCCCTGGGGTTGTTGTTGCTTGGTTGGTTTTGGCCGGGGATGCATCTCCTTGTGTTCAATTGTGGCTCTTAGCCATTGCCTGCGTGCTGTGGCCTCTGTGGCCTTGGACGTGCTTTGAATTATTGCCCAGGGTTCCCTTCGTCCCTGTTCTGGGGTTCGGGTCTCCCGGGTCGTCTGCAGGGGTCCTTTCGGTGTTGCCTGTTGTCTTGCTTTTGAATTTTAGGCATGTGATTTCTGCCTCCTGGGTTTGTCCTTCTTTTGTCCTTGGCTTTGGGTAGGTAGCTCCGGGAAGTCGTAGGGACTCCTCCCAGAAAACTAGCATTGAATGAAATGAAACGCCATTTTCTGGGTGATATCCAGAGGCTACCGTGGAAAGACTTTACACATGGAAAATAATTGAGGGGCTGGTCCCAAACCTGCACACAGAAATAACATCACATGAGACCAGAAGACATGGCAGGATGTGCAGAATACCCCCGTTGAAAAGCAGAGGTGCAACAGGTACTCTGAGAGAGAACTCTATCAGCATCAGAGGCCCGAGACTGTTCAACACGCTTCCACTACACATAAGGGGCATAACTGGCCGACCCCTCACAGTGTTCAAGAGAGAACTGGATAAGCACCTCCAAAGGATACCTGATCAACCAGGCTGTGACTCATACGTCAGGCTGCGAGCAGCCACGTCTAACAGCCTGGTTGATCAGTCCAGCAACCAGGAGGCCTGGTCGACGACCGGGCCGCGGGGACACCAAGCCCTGGAAGCACCTCAAGGTAACCTCAAGGTAAGGTACCCGGCAACCCTCCCTTTCCCCTGACCAGTGCTTTTTTCGCGTGTTTTGACATCCAGCCTCGAACTGACAGGTTGATAGCCGGCGCAATGGGTCTGGGGCTCCCCCTTGCCCCTCCCGGGGAGGGGGAAGCTGCACAGACAAGCAGCGCTGCAAGTGTGACATCATGTTTGTTTGCTCGTTTTTCAATTGGGGAGTTCTGTTTACTTGTTAGTTTTCAGTAGTAGTTTTATCCAGATTAGGGGTTTGGGGCTCCTACTTTTCTACCTGGCCCGGCTGTTGGCAGACATAGACTGCTCCACACACATGTGCATTTCTATAGGCCATTGCTCCTTGTGCCTCTGAGGGGGGCCAGGTTCTGATTCGCGGTCCCCAGTAGGCCTAGAACTTCATTCGCACTGATGCCAAAGTCTAATAATATACATATTAGCCTGGATAGCTCCGGGGAGCCTCTGGGTCTTACCCAAAAAATGGCGTTTCATTACATTCAACGCTGTTTTTTTTTTGGGGGGGGGGGCGGGGATGGGGAATTAACTCTTAGTGTGGTTATCGCCATACGATGATTTACAGGGCAATGCGGTTATCATATGTCAATTTTAACTACTGTTGTTTAGTTTTATACCAATGATGTTAATAATATGGATTTAATAGCTCTGTATGGATGTAGTGGAGTTTATTATGACCCATGAAAAAATCCTGCTATAATTTTGATTGATTACTAAGCAAATGTCACTACAGTATGCCAATGTGGTAATCATCATGGTATAAAAATCCATTATAATTATCTATGTATACTGATTATGTCCATATAATTTTCACAGCTCTGTATGATTGTAATGAAGTAGACCAGGTCAACCAATCATCATTTGAACATAAGAAAGGATCTATAAAAAGCCTATTGGCCCATTCAAAGCAGCAACTATTTATATGCACTGAAACTCGTTCATATTCGGTATGTAACATCTCGGAAATTGGAGAAAGAAATGAAGAAAACTCATAGGGCAAGTGAGGTAGAGAGGTGGGAGGGAGGACTGAGGAAGAGTGGTCACTGGAAAGGGAAAGTTTAGAATGAGAGAGAGGAGGAAAGTAGAAGAAAGAGTAGAAAGTGCTGTAGTTACATATAAGACATAAATAATTGGTCTTCTGAAGTTTTCTAAATTCTTATTGATACATGTATTCATTGTAGGCCTGAATACACTATCCTAATACATATAGTTAGTAATGTACTGTACTTAGTCCAAGTTTTTGTAAATAACATATCCATAAATCCAGTATTTAACACACACATACTAAATACTATAATGAATGAACTAAAAAGTGAAGAAATGATCATAGAAGCATTCAAGGTCATCAATGAAATCCTCTGCCACATGCTGCTGTGTTGGTAAGAGTTAAGGTCTGGTATAGACAGATTTTGGCTGATTTGGCTGGCACCCACCAACCTTATACAGCTCACCTAACTAGTAAATATGTAGAATTTACTTTATTTTCACTTTTTCTTACATTTTTCATTCAAATTAATCATTCTTTAGGAAAATGTATCATTTTAATTGTATAATTTTTAATCATGGGCAGATATGCATGTATATCCATTGCAGCACGTTGAGAGTTAAGGCCTTAGAGCAGGCATTGGAATTATTATGATTATTTAGTATGAATCTTTCCCCTAGAGCATATATATTAAACAAAATTTAACACAATAAGTTTCACTCAAAATTATGGTAAAATATGAAGCATTGAGTGTAGTGTCCTTTTCTGACTGCCTCAGTAGCTTCCCAGCTTCCCTACACACAGCTTCCCAGTGCATGGCTCTGGAACCACAGACACATCCTCAAAACTACTAAATTTCTGGACTACCAGATACCAGGACCAGAATTTGGTTGGCATATAGGGGTGAGGGGCATGGGGGGAATTGAGCTCAACCTCATCATGTAAAACCTCCCAGAAAGTACAGGTAAAGCAAAACAACAACTGTTTGCTCGGAAAAATATCGAGGCTATAAAATGGGGTTGAATCTGCATCCCTGGACTTCCCCTTTTGTATTGTGATCAGAGAGAGAAAAAATGGAAATAAAGATGGTAGTTTGCCTTATGTTAGCAAACTATGGATATGGCAACTCAGGTCATCCAAATTCTTAAACCACCTGCCTGCCTGGCGGCCTCGTTCACTCACGAGCCACCCTGAAAACACCCCCAGGGCAGGTGCAGAGACTTACCGAGGCTGCCCAAAAATGGACATTTAATTACATTCAATCCTTGATTTCTGGGCTGGTCCACAGTATCTCTCGAGTGCACAGTGGTGTCTTAGAGAGGGGTATGGTGGGGGGTATGCAGACATGATGTCAAAAGGTTTTATCTGCCTGGATGCTAGAAAGTCCTGCTCTTTTTCACCTTTGCAAATGTCATTCACTCCAAACATTTTTAACATGGTTGATATTTGAATTCATCCATGATCACTACTTCCACTGTGTATGTGTTCTAATAATTAAATTAATAGTACACAGAGTAATCACACTAACATGATGTATCAATGAGAAGATCCGTAGGAGCTGTGATGAGGATTCGAACCTATGTGGTGGGTAGTCCCACGCACATGCCCCAGACAACCACATTACCATGTTGTGGCTTGATTGTCTGGGGCGTTTGTGGGAGACTATTCACCGCATAGGTTCTAATCCTCATAACAACTCGTTCAGATTTTTTTTTTAAATTAATAGTGCTATTTTCCTTAGCAATCAGAAGCTTTAATCCTATTGTAAGATTGATAACAAATTTTCTTTCTTAAATGCTAGGTATACCAAGTTCTTTTCATGCAATAACACAGTATATTTGTATTATGTGAAAACTTGATAGTCCAGTATAATTCTGAGGGCTTCATTTGCATTTTTGACTCTTTCCATATTTTTGTTATGTTATAGACTATAGCTGGTGTATGATAGTGTATCAGAGATCTTATATGAGCCAAGTACTTTTCATCATTTTAGCTTTTCTAATATTTGCACCATATTTAGGGCTGTACCCAACAACAGTTCTGAGAGCCTTGAATATATCTTTACATTGTTGATGCAATTTTTTAATCACAGTTGAGGTAAAAGGTACTTGGTGATGAACAGGCACTTATCCGGTCTTATTTTAACCTGACTGTATTTCCTTTGTTAGATTAATGTTAATTTTGTGATCTTGAGCACTTTAATTATTAATAAATATTTTCAGGTGAAGATGCTTTACGAGTGCAAAAGACAGTGATGAGAAGAGCCCATGAAGGGTATGAAGCTCGATTACTGACCCAAAATGGAAGTCTTCTTAGTAAACCCAAGAAAGTTTATTGTTATGTCACACCAAAACAGCTTATTATCAAAGAATTTCTACTACGACTTATACCAAAACGAGTTTGTACGTTTCGTTTGTGCCCTTCTACAAAATTTCATTTTACTGGCACCAATAATCAGAGTGGGCTTCCAACAATGAGTATTGATGATGGCTGTCAACCTCTTGTGTCCCTTGCTGGTAAAGACAGAAATGTAATAGCTGCAACTTTCACTCAGTTTATGCTAAAAAATATCGGTGGCTCTGAAACCTTTAAAGACAAACAGGATCATTTTTACCATGAAGTGCGAAAGTTCCATAGCAAACGCATGCATGAAAGAATTCAGATAACTGTATCAAGGGAACGTTTGTTAGAAACTTCAATGAAAGCTACCAAAAACTTCACAGTAGCAGACTGGTGTAAAAACTTTGAAATCACTTTCCAAGGGGAAGAAGGATTAGACTGGGGAGGAGTGAGACGTGAATGGTTTGAAATAATATGTGCCATGTTATTTGATAATGGCAATGAACTTTTTGCCAGTTTACATGAAGGGAGACAAGCCTTAGTACATCCTGATCCATACAGGCCTCCACATATGAAGCTAAAACATTACGAGTTTGCTGGAAGGGTTGTGGGAAAGTGTTTATATGAATCTGCCCTTGGAAGTGGTTATAGACAAACAGTAAGGGCAAGGTTTTCAAGATCATTTTTAGCACAGCTAATTGGTCTTCGGGTTCACTATAAGGTTGGTCTTGTTTGTTAATGTATGTTATGTATATTTTGTTGATACTCTAATCATGCACAATGAAATTATAGGAATGTGATATATCTTTGAGAAACTATTGAAGCTGTACGAAGGTACCCCACATCCCTGGGGCTAGATGCACCAAGCAGTTACGCAAGTGCTTACGAATGTGTACATCTTTCCTCAATCTTTGACGGCTTTGGTTACATTTATTAAACAGTTTACAAGCATGAAAACTCCCAATCAACTGTTGTTATTGTTATAAACATCCTCCTGGTGCTTCGGAGCTCATTAATTGTTTAATAACTGTAAACAGAGCCACCAGAGATTGAGAAAAGATGTACAAGTTCGTAAGTGTTTGCGTAACTGCTTCGTGAATCTGGCCCCTGAACTCCTCAGACACTCGCATTACCGACTGGACCATGATGGGACACTCTCAAGCCCATCGTGGCTCAGTCAGTAGTATGTGTACCTGAGGAGTGCAGGGAGGCGGGTTTGATCCTATTGTATGGCTTCAGTTCAATATTTTGGCACAAATCATATCCATATTTAAATTACAGTACTGTACTATATAACTGTTATTTCTTTTGGAGCCACTATTCAATGCTAAACCATTGTTCTCATGTTCAGCACTTTGCTCAAGATGACCCAGAGTTGTACAGTGGCAAGATCAGACATCTTTTGGATTATGGGGTTGATAAACTAGACGACGACCTCTTCTTCGTAGATGAAATTCTCCTACCGTCTGGACAAATCAAAGTATGTCAGCTTAATCTATTTTTCTTAAAAAAAAAAAAATTATATTCAGCACTTCTAAATTTAGAATACTGTTACATTACTATATTTTGATCATACAATTTTTTTTTTGTAGATAGCCACCCACATTGCCTCTTGGATTACCAAGGGATCCTTGGGGCTCAACAATCTCAATAATTCAGTCTCTTGCCAGACCATATGGTAGCATCCTGATATAAAAGGCTGTTAGCACAGGCACCTTTTTAACATAGGAAATACAGCCTTGCTAGTCGGGAATACATTTTGCTACTTTGGCCATTGTACACATTTGACCATGCCTCCCTTTGTAAGGGGGACATTTGACCATGCCTCCCCTTGTAAGGGGTACATTTGACCATGCCTCCCCTTGTAAGGGGGACATTTGACCATGCCTCCCCTTGTAAGGGGACATTTGACCATGCCTCCCCTTGTAAGGGGGACATTTGACCATGCCTCCCCTTGTAAGGGGGACATTTGGCCATGCCTCCCCTTGTAAGGGGGACATTTGACCATGCCTCCCCTTGTAAAGGGACATTTGACCATGCCTCCCCTTGTAAAGGGGACATTTGACCATGCCTCCCCTTGTAAGGGGGACATTTGACCATGCCTCCCCTTGTAAAGGGACATTTGACCATGCCTCCCCTTGTAAAGGGACATTTGACCATGCCTCCCCTTGTAAGGGGGACATTTGACCATGCCTCCCCTTGTAAGGGGGGCATTTGACCATGCCTCTCCTTGTAAAGGGGACATTTGACCATGCCTCCCCTTGTAAGGGGACATTTGACCATGCCTCCCCTTGTAAGGGGGACATTTGACCATGCCTCCCCTTGTAAGGGGACATTTGACCATGCCTCCCCTTGTAAGGGGGACATTTGACCATGCCTCCCCTTGTAAGGGGACATTTGACCATGCCTCCCCTTGTAAGGGGGACATTTGACCATGCCTCCCCTTGTAAGGGGACATTTGACCATGCCTCCCCTTGTAAGGGGACATTTGACCATGCCTCCCCTTGTAAGAGGGACATTTGACCATGCCTCCCCTTGTAAGGGGACATTTGACCATGCCTCCCCCTGTAAGGGGACATTTGACCATGCCTCCCCCTGTAAGGGGACATTTGACCATGCCTCCCCCTGTAAGGGGACATTTGACCATGCCTCCCCCTGTAAGGGGACATTTGACCATGCCTCCCCCTGTAAGGGGGACATATGACCATGCCTCCACTTGTAAGGGGGACATTTGACCATGCCTCCTCTTGTAAGGGGACATTTGACCATGCCTCCCCCTGTAAGGGGACATTTGACCATGCCTCCCCCTGTAAGGGGACATTTGACCATGCATCCCCTTGTAAGGGGACATTTGATCATGTGTCCTCTTGTAAGGGGACATTTTAAGTCATATATGGAACTAGTTCCTCCTGTATTGGTAAGGTGTAAATTATGATATGTAAGTTTCCCCTATTGTCTGGGTTCCACAGAGTACATCAGCATTACTTGCATCTTGGTATTACTAGTGCTCTAAAAAATTATCACACAGTTTTTAGTTAAGTTCATTTATTATTCACTCCAATTCTATCCTGTGGGCAGCAGTAGGAAAAAGGTTACAGGTGAACATAATAGGCTCAGGAACTGAACTCAAAATTCATTTGGCTAAGCAAGTTCTCATAGCCATAATCAACCATTATGTTCAGGCATCTGGAACAAAATTTTCAATTCGTGTAATGTTTAACCAGCTCATCTTGCCTTCAAACTGGCACATATACCATTACCTACTTCCATTTGTTAGTTATAAAATATATTGTTAACCAAAGTGGTTGCTCTCAAAACCACCAAAAATGCCTATATCAAACCCACACATTCGTTCCTCACACTGATTCTATCAGAAATTTAACAAAAAGGAATGTTATGTTTTCTGGGGAAAGCCCTGTCGGCTCCCTGAAGCTATTGTCACTGATTCGGTTCCATACTACTAGGTGCCATCAGTCATGGAATTATACTGGCCTACTGGGGACCATGAGCCAGAACATGGCCCTTTTTAGAGAAGTACAGGGAGCAATGGCCTATGAACACTTTACATTTAAGGTTAATCATAATTGCCACCACCAGGAAATCACCCAGAAAGTTAGGTGAAACAAAACAGACTACTGCATGGATAAAAGAAAGGAGACTGCAGCTCCACAATTCCCCACAAAACTCTACCAACAATGAAAACAAATGATCAAAATATTGCCCCTTCTCCTCCCCCCCCCCTCCTCATTTGGGGGGGAAAGAGGGAGGCAGACCGAGTCAACCTGGCTGCTCCATTGTCACTTTTATTCTGAAGTTGCCTGGTGCAGTCCTAGTCCAACACCACCATCTGCTGGTGTTGAGGGGGAGCCAGGTGACTCATTAGTTACTTGAGCAGTTGTGCAGGAGCCTAAACTTTGCCCTTCTGGGTTACTCGTTGGGCAGAGTTTGACTTTGGAGGCTGTTCTGATTGCTTTGGAGCAGCCCCTTTCACCTCTTGCATGATCGCTGGGTGCAGACTTCGAGGGTCCTGCACTGGCTCCTGCGGTGCCAGCTTCCATTTTAGTTTTTTTGTGGGGTTTGTTTCCCTTGCGCCTTCCTCCGCCCTTGCTCGACGTTTCCAAGATGCCACGGCTGTCAGTTGGGGCTTTGTAACTGGTGCACATCATTCTGGTCATGTTCGTTGGAGCTCTTCTCTTTGTCAGGCATGCGGGAGTTTGTGGCTGTGTTGCAGGCAATGCGGAGAGTTCAGATTCCTCCACGCTCGGTGTTCCGGCTCCATTCAGATTGTTCCCTCGTGATTCATTTGTCTTGACCAGGGGGGTGGGGAGTCTCTTTGGTCTGTGGCTCTCTGCAGCTGTTCGCTTCGGGTAGCTCATCTGCTGAGTTCTCAGGGTTTTCATCTCCATGCCATCATGTCCAGGGAGTGTTCAACGTTCAGGCTGAAGGTCTGTCCCGGTTACTTCTTTTTTCCACAGAATGGACTGTCAATACCGCTTTCTTCCTCAGGCTTTGCTAGACGCTTGGCTTTTTGTGGCAGCATGGTCTCAGTGTCTGCCTTTTTATGTGGTGCCATTCCCTAACTGCAAGGCCCTTGTGGTGGGCACTTTTGGCAGGACTGGTCGAGATGGGGGAGCATTTACTTTTTTTTTTTCCCCTGATTTAGCTTTTGCTGCAAGTGTGGCACAGCTGCAGGAGGGAAAGAAGTGATTCTTCTGGCCCTTTGGTAGCCTTCCCAGCCTCAGTTTCAGGCACTGCTTGCTCGGTGTTCGATCCTGGGCATTTTCCTGCGGCTCTGCCTTTTTCAGAGGGTCGGGTGAGTGACATGCCTTGCTGGATTGACCTTCTCTTCAACTCCATACGTGTGGCTTTTTGACATGTATTAATAATCATTTGTATGATGATCTGGCAACATGATCAATATTGTCCCACCTGCAGTCGTCTACTCAGCGATAGTATGAGGTTTCTTAGTGGTCTTTTCGCCATTTTCTGTCTTTGCTGTTGTTGTCTTTCTGTTTCCAAGCGGGCTGTTCGTCCTTTCTTGGCTGTTTCTTGATCAATGTCTTCTGCCGAATACTGTTGCCTCTGATTGTGCGGTGTTGGCAGAGCCACTCTGGCTTGTGCTTGAGGTTGCCACTTCTTTATCCCCATTTTGCAAGCTTTCTCACGCTTTCTTTCACTCAAAGCCTGCTCATTTGCTGCCTGAGCCTACCTCATCTCTGCACCGGATACTTTCTTTTCTCTCTCCTGCTCATTTTAGGTGGCTCCTTTGGTCCATGATTGTTTCTGGGGAGGGGGAACCCCTATGGCTCCCCTGAGCTTATCCAGGCTAATATGGATATGTTAGACTTTGGCATCAGTCAGAGTGAATGGAGTTCTTAGGCCTACTGGGGACCACGAGCCAGAACCTGGGGCTTCCCTCAGAAAGGCACAAGGAGCAATGGCCTATTGCTCCTTGTGAGCAATAGGCTAGCGAGCATAAGAAATATTGCCGGAACAACCGTGGACATCTTCAAGAGGAAACTGGATAGTTTCCTCCAAGGAGTAGCGGACCAACCGGGCTGTGGTGGGTATGTGGGCCTGCGGGCCGCTCCAAGCAACAGCCTAGTGGACCATACTCTCACAAGTCAAGCCTGGCCTCTGGCCGGGCTTGGGGAGTAGAAGAACTCCCAGAACCCCATCAACCAGGCTATAGAAACCCCCATGTGGTTGGAAGCATGCTGTCTGCCATTGACCGGGTCAGGCACCCAGAAAGGTAAGCATTCCAAAACAAACCTCCTATTCTGGTTAAGAAATTGCTACTGAAAGCCGAACTAGTGGACAGAACTCCCCAAACAGAAACGAGCAAACGAGCAAAACCCCAGTTCTGAGGCTGATGCGTCGTCTGCCCTGTTGAAGCTGTTTGCGCCGATCCTGCGGGATGCTGTGTGTCTGTTTTATGCTTCGCAGCTTGCGTGTCAGCAGGTGGTGCTTGCTTCCTCCTTGGAATCTGCTTGGGCTCTGGCTCTTAGGTTGTCTTCGCCCTTTTTTCCCTTGCTGTTTGCAGATTCTGCAGTTGAGCAGTATCTGCAGGCAGCTTCTTCTAGTTGTCGTCCTATGTCAGACTTGTTGGTTCTCCGGGGGTCCTGGATGGGGGGGGGTGCTTTCCTGGAGAGGTTGTGCCGGGGCTCGGGGTTCCGCTCGTCATGGTAGGCCACTGGTACCAGTTTCAGAGCCGGCACCGCCTTTGGACCCATCTTCGTCTGGTTGGCACGGTGTTTGCCCTGTGCGTGGGTCAGGTTCTCGTAAGGGGAGTCGGCCCTTTTGCAGTTCATCCCATTGACTGGATGATGGTGGGGAGGTTCGCTCTGTTTGCTCATGCCTGGTCTCACGATTTGTGGGGGTTTTGGGTTGTTTCAGCCGGCCTGCGGTGGAGTTGGGTGGCCCCTCTTCCTTTGGGGGGTTCGGGGCTGGCGGGGCAGGCCACTTCTGCGATCTATCGGG